GTCAAGGATGAGGAGTCAAAGGTTTGGAAACTGCCACTCTGAACCTGATGCTGACCATGTTATGTCTTCTGGCTGAGCAGGTATTACGGGTTGGGAGCTGCCTTTCCCTGTCCAGCTCACTTGCTTGGTTAAGATGATTTCTTGCTGAGCCCAAAAGCCTATGTCTGTGGGAATTTCGGGACCCTCTTTCATTGCCTCCCAGCCCCACATACAGCCCCATTTAACCCAGCAATACCATGGTGTGTTAATGATCTGCCCTCGGGAGCCCTTGCCAGGAGCACACAGAGGCCTGTCTGCTCCAGGCAGCATGGCTGTTGAGGGCAAATAGAAATACCCCAAATGTCCATCCTTAAGCAAATGAGTTACTAAAGGATGTATAAATCCTCTGATAAAACACTATACAGTTGTTTAGGTGAACACCTACATCTTTATATATCAACATGAACAGCTCTCCAGAACAGTATTGAGTAATAATGCTAAAACAATACACATCTGGCTCTCCTATCAAGTTGTGGTCACTGCAGGAGTTCGATCCCGGCCAGAGAGCGGGCCCACATGGAGCAGTAGACCTCTCCTGTCTCCCTGCTGCTCCCCTCAGCAATGTGTTTCAGGAGATCCACTGTTCTGTACCCCACTCTGTCTCTGGGAAGTCCTCTCACACGCCCATCCAATACCTCTGGCCCATACCCCAGCTCTTGTACACATAAATAAATATAAATCTTTTTTAAAAGTGATAATGGAAGGTCAGGATACACATTAAAATCATGATGATGCTCAGGATACACATTAAAATCATGATGATGCTTTTGGGGAGGGAAATGAGACTGGGGGAAAATAATAATAACCTTAGGCCTATTGTGGGTGTTTTTTATTTTAGGAAAAATGGGAGGAGAGTCAATATTCATGCTGGTGAGTGAGTTCTATACCCAAGTTTATTATTCTAAAAGTTATTTTAGCTTTAACTTTTCCAGTTAGCACTCTGATGCTTGTTACATGTTTCTTTGCAATTTCTGGGGCTTTTTCAATTTATGAACTAGTCTTCTAATGCTCTTCCTATCTACCCACACCCACCCTAAGTCTCAATTAACCCTGGGGAAAGGCATACAAACAGGAAGGTGCCCAGAGGAAACACCCACACTTGGCAGAAACCACAAAGCAGTTGAAGACATTCAGACTGCCTACTTTCAACAGCTGAACAGAAACCATGCTTTCAAAAAAATGATTAAAGATCAAACTTCATGTAGGTACTCAACAACACCAGCAAGTAAGAATCACACAGATCTGGAAGCGACACCATCTCTGTCAGCTCTATGTTAGGTGAACTCGAGAAATTTCTGAACAGCCCTAGGCATGATTTCCCTATATGAAGTGGGATTTAACTATTGGGGCAATACCCAAGTTGAGTAAACACTAACTTGGCTACCATCTCTAAAGTCCCTGGCAGTGCAAGGGGTTAATTCTCAGCACTAAGAAGCTATCACCGGACACTGCAGCACCAGTTCTATCCCAGGCCAGGCAGGGACCCACAGGAGAAGCAGATGAGACTGAACTTCAAAATGCCTCATCCACTGCTCCCCTCAGCAGTGTATTTCAGTAGATCCACCTGTAATGCTCCCTACTCTGTCTCTGGTGAATTCTCTTACCGGCCCCCCATCTTTGGCCGGTACCCCAGTTCTTGTATGCATAAATAAACCTTAAAAACATATAAAAGCCCTGGCATTATACTTGGTAAACAGTTATTTAATCAGTAATGAATAGTTTAGTGGGTACTAAACTATTCTCCCAAGGTTCTTATTAAGGGGCCACAATACACATTGGTGGGTTAAAACTCAAATTCCCAAACTCAAAAATAATGTCAAAGGAAATATAAAATATAGCTAGGCCAATACTTGTAAGAATTAAGAATGAATCACTCCACTAAAAAAAAAAAAAAAAAAAAGAACAAATGATAAT